TTGAAAATCGTCGACTGACAATGAGAGACCTCGCTGATAGTGTTGGAATATCATTTGGCTCAGTCCAAACCATTTTGAAGGATGATTTGTGTCTCAAACGCGTCAAGTCTCGATTGGTGCCATGTCATACTGCATTGGTCCTTCGCGATTTTTTTGCCAAAAACTCGACTCATATCGTTCCGCAACCACCGTATTCGCCTGATTTGGCTCCGTGCGACTTCTGGTTATTCAGCAAACTCAAAAGGCCGATGCGGGGACGCCGTTTTGACACGATTGAGGAGATAAAAACCGAATCTTGAAGGCTATACCGGAAAAAGACTATTCCGACTGTTTCGAGGACTGGAAAAAGCGTCGGAAACAGTGCGTTTTATCGGACGGGGATTACTTTGAAGGGGATGAAATTGATTTGGAAGAATAAATAAAGAATTTACATTTTATAAACAAATTCACCTTACTTTTTGATCACAGTAGTATATTGTAACTACGAACATGAATCCTAACATTTCAAAGTTAATATAAATTTCTAACGTTTCTCTAAAATTTATATTGTATAATCGCTCTTAATCATGGATAAATTTTCTTACCTATATGCACCCTCTTGGAGAACGCCAGGGCACACGATACGAAGACGAATGGCAGACACTTGATCAGCATCATATGGTCATTCTAAATATATATATAAAGTAACAATAGAAAAGCATTGAATAAACAAAATAATTTATATTCAATGGATTGAACATTCTTTGAAAGCTATATTAATCTTGAAGCGAATGCTTTGAATGTAAATAATGTATCGACGTTGGTGAATTTGCATATTTTTGGTGATTCAATTTCAAGGAAGTACAAGTAGTTTTTTCATTACTTAAATAATAGTATGATGAATCAGAATTTCAGAGTCTATCGCTTTGCGTAGGAAATTGTAAATAGTTTCAAGGCAGAGTGCGGAAACTACGAAGTTTTGGTCGTAAAAATTCATCCAGCAGTAATTTGATATTTCATGACTTATTGCTTTGAACGTTTACCAAACTGAACAGCGTAATTTTATTACTACCCAACGTTAATAAACACTTCTCCATATTTTCACACATCGATGAAAGTGTGCAAGATTGAGAATACACGATCGTTCGTTGAAATGTTTCCAAAAATAATCCGAAATGTGATAAAATAAAACAACGTTTGGAGCCATACACAATCGATGGAACGTTTCTCAATCGTTGAATACCGTGGAGAAAAGAAGCGGACTCGACGTGACCTGTTGAAATCGGCGAGTCGTCAAGCATAAGCGGACAGTCTGGCGCAGATTTATTTGCAATAAGATCTCGTATACGCGTATTCAGTGTAAGCCGTTCAAACAGGCTGCCGGGATTCAAACGAACACTTAACAGTGCGACGTTGTGTAAACCCAACGGGAAGCATACACGCTCGAATTCTCGGCGCGCGTAAATATTTAGACCCGTCTAAAATCAATCCTCCAATATCGAGTCTTGCTATTTATTTGAAGCCATCGAAGGGGGCTTCGGGCTTGTCAAATTCTCCGCCGACATCTGAAAACCAAACTTCTTCGTCAGTTTCCTTCATCGCTCTAGTCGTCGGAAAATACAAAATCCGTCCAATTCATTTTCTTTTCCTGAACGACCGAACGCGGACGTTTGTACAGGCACGAAGGAAGCCCGTCGCAGAGTAAAAATAACATATCCGGCGTGGGGATCGGAAACAAACTCGCTAATGAAGTCGACGTTCCGTGGACACCGTACTCGTTAAAATATAATCGAAGTGATTCACTGAATGTGAACCAGAATGACACGATTTTAATCGAGCACGCGAGAATAGCTTTGTTTGAATGTTTCCGACGTAGAAACAAATCTCATGTAATCTCACGAATCTCAAACAATACCTGCAAACGATTCAAGAATTATAAAAATAGTGCGATACGAAGGATTGTCAGTTTTTGCACGCCACATCCGTGAAATTGCGAAATCACAAATTCCACAGTGCAGTGAAGCTAAAGCAATCTGACGAATCAAAAACACTCATTCCAGATTTTCTACTTGCCGCTTGCTGGAAATCATATTATTATATTTTCTCGAGCCATTATTAACAACGTTCGCATCTCTATCGTTTCTTTCTTTATGGCCAAAATGACTTATGACTTATGATGACATCAAATCAGATTAATTTGTGTATATTTACGTAAACTGCAAGTTTGCGGAAGTCACACATGTCCAACCATGATCCCGAACGTGTTAAACTCATCAATTCTATTTTATTAACAGATTAACTGTCGAATGTTGACTCTAAAAATTCCGACAATATCAGAGTCACTTAATGAATTCGAAACTAGAATGATAGAATTTACCACGGAAAATATTAGTTCAATCCTTTTGTATTCTAAAGATTTTAATAACATTCAATTTGCTCAACATATTACAATTAAAGAGAATTTCGATAGCTAGTTAAAAAGTAGACATATGACGCAGCACTCAACGTGTTAAAGGCTGCATCATTACCTGTAAAACATTAAAGATACATCATTTGAGGGGGTATTCTATTGTGAATTTTTAAAGAAATCCAATTTTTTTGGATATTCTTAAAGGATATCGTTTATCTCTGAAACATTACATGTGAACTCCAAAAATTAACGAAGTTAAGATATGAGCTGTTTATTTTGAAAGTGGCATAAGTCACTTTGTTGTTAAGTCGGTCACTTTGTTTTTAAGTCGATATATTTAAAGGTTTGCGTTTTAAAACGTTTAAAAATATAGATGCTAACTTTCGAGAAGATCTACTTGTACTTGTTATCTCAGGATACTGATATTTTTCTCAGTATAAATAATTTCGTGTAAACATTAAAAAATCATCACTTTTCATTACGGTAAAGTGACTTATGCCACTTTCAAAATAAACGGCTCATATACTAAAATTTAAAGGCATTTTTCTAGAAGCTGTGTTTTTCAGAACGATGTCCATGATATTTCAAAAGCTACCAGAATCAACCAAAAATTGTTATTCTTTTCTATTTCTTAGGCCTCCACTCTTTATCTTTTGTCCTAGTACCTGCTATAGCCAAATTCATACTAATTAAGGAACTTTCGCGTTCTTTTTTATTTCAGACAAACAGAATGGCCGGAATGATAAACACCGTGAGGCGATCTTTCGTAAAAGCGACTATGTTTGAGAGTATGCAGTGGCACTAATTTTAAATTTTTTCGTTCCAACGTCGTTGAAACACGTACAAATAAATCTTGTCAAATCGACTGCAAAATGTTTAATAGTTCCTTCACAAAAAATGCCCTAACAAAGTTAAAAAAAAACCGCGAACTTTACACTAGAACATCCCCTTAAACTCCGGCGACAACTAAATAATTTCGAAAAGAGAATTTCACGAAACGGGGACAATCAATCCCATCGACGCGCGGCGCACAAAACAATTCGCGCAGCGCACAATGGCTAGAGAAGGAGCCGTCATCGCATTTTAAACCGTCCGAGCACCGAAAAACCAGCTATCAAACGTCGTCCTCGAATTGACATTTTGGCAGCGCCGATGGATCCACGGAGATTTTGGTCCGCCGCGACGTGACAGGATAATTTTGGTAGTGACGATCGTCGGCGTGCGCGCGTTCTGCTCGCGGCGCGGCGCGGCGCGGCGCGTCGGAACGCGTCGGAACGCGTCGGGACGCGGCCGGTGACAAACGGGGGCCACAGATTCCGAACAAACACGCGAATCCTGGCTGCATTCAGTGTTTCACGGAGGCGGACTGTCACCTTGCCAAACGCACGCGTTCTTTTCCATTCATTCATCCATCGGCCACACGCGGCTCTTTCACGGGGTGGTTTCCGCGCGCGCGGAATCCATCCCTCCTCGTCGTTGACGGCGCGGACGCGACGCGACGCGACGCGGCCGCGTGTTCGGTGTCAACGTGCCATATTCGAACGCGCGACGGCTTAAAAAACACACGAAAATGTTGGAGTGCGCGTAACGAGGCACGATATATTTAGACGGCGAGCATCGTCGCCAGTGGCGCTTGTCGCTTATAAGCTCTGTGACATAGTTACCGCTGAACTGCAATTAACGACGCCTACTGACCGTCCCGACGTTTCGGCCTCTCGTTTAATTTTGTGATTCCACGAAAAACCTCGCGTGCCTTCGCTCTTCTTCCGACCTCCGTTTAAAAGCTCGGCTATTCCGCGAGAATTTTCGTCTCCGAAACGTTGGCTAAGCTTTCCGTGTTCAGAATTCGTCGATCACTCGGCTAATTTACACAATAATCATCGGTCAGCTTATCGAACTTCAACAGACTCCGTTCTCTGTGAAGCTGACTTCATTTCTCTGGAATAATTAATAATTACCTTAGGCAATTATTTCCATCCAGCCATTGATTGCTCTCGAATTCTGACAAACGTTTCGGAAACGTTCGATATTCTAGACGATTTTCAAGAATTATTTAGCTGGCGTGTAAGCGTACAGACTCTGAGATTACTGTGAACTCTTTTTTCGGGCTCAACGGTACAAACGAGTTACTGGATGGAGTTCTGTATATTTTTGCAGGATTTGGAAGAGGAGCTCTCACTCGGGAAAAATGTTTCTCGTTTCATGCCGGGGGAAGAGTTAGCGAGCGTTAAAGAGGAACAAAGCGGACGTCCGTGCGTCGAGCGTTAAAGGAGGAGGAACTTACCTAAAATTGCAATTACACACGGCTTGTTACCTGGAACAGAAGTTTGACAACCGTGCTTTTCCGAACGAACGTCGCGGCATGCACTCTAATTCCGAACGCCACTTCCCGAGTGGATTTTCACTGCGCACACGCGGCCCTCCCTTCCAAACCTCTTGGATTCATTTGTACACCGTAATATGGCGGGCACCCCGGACTCGGGTCCCGACTTATTGTTAGACCCGCCATCGGAGCTTTTCCGACGACACGCGGATCGTCCGAAGGTTTCGTACGTACTACGTTTTTCATTCGCTTTTCATCGACTTAATTTCATTCTTCGACATCTGGTACGACGAACATCCGAATTCTGTACATTTTAGTATTACGTAACAACAAACGTTCATTCGATATCTATTCTACCAAGCTTCCAAGTCGTACTTGAATCTTCCAACACACGTTTCAAACATTATTTAACCCATCGCAGTCGGAGAATTCTCCCGGCAACTGAAGCGTATTTAATCGCAAATTAACACGTTCCGTGCCAAGCCATTTTTGCCTAACTTGTCGTTCAGGCCATTTGATGTTTTGACTAAAGATTGATACATTATCACATAATATTTCATTATATCATCAGTAGATAAGTAGTGATTGCCCGAATCAACCGTTTTTATGCAGCTCTTGCTTTAAAAAAGTCAAACATTGTAATTAATAGTTATCGTGTATATAACGATTAAACAAATTTATGTGCTTTGTTCTATACAGCATTTTTTACAATGCCTCTCAGCCTTTTGGTGGAAATATATTTTATACAATCAAATTTGTCACAAAATGTATGTCTTCAGCGCTTTAAATAAATATGTCCGCGTGTACCATTTATGGTACACGTGGCCTGATGGTCAAGTTTAACGTGTACCATTTATGGTACACGTGGCACGGAACGTGTTAAGCAGCAAGTACATAAGTAGCGCTCCGAATAAAATGGTATAACACTGGAAATAATTACTCCACCGATGTAGATTTCACCAAACAAAATTCTTCATCTAATATTCTCGTTACATCCGAGTGCAAAGGTTCATATTTAAATAGTGCTCTTCTAAATGTTCGCGTCTTGTTTCAATAGTATCGCCGAAGGATTCATATCGGACCGACATTCGTACGCTTTGTTAGTTACTCGTTGGGTTTATTGTTGCGGCAAGCTCTTCTCTCGTTTAAAGTTTAAAATTGCAGCTTGCAGAAACTACGAATTCTCTGCTTGAATATATTTTTTGAAGTAATTTAAATATATCGCGCATGCGAGCGATCGTGCATCACGTGGGTTCACGTTCTTGTTTTTCGTTCTTTATCTCAGAGACTCGTTCTACACGCAGAACTCAGATTAGAAAAATTTATGGAAACGGCAGTGCAGTTAACGGCACGCTGTAAAGTGTAGTTATTTTCCCGGTAAAGGCGCGGTACACGACAAGAACGCGACGTAAAACCAAGATGGACGACTATTACTTTTGACACTATGTTCAGCTTATTCGCAGAATAAACTTACTTTTTAGGTACGTTTCTTCTCGTAACAGTTTCAAGGAGCTATCTTTTGCTTTAGCTCTCTCTCCTTCTCTATCTCTCTCTCTTCTCCACCCTCCCTCCCTTCTCACTCTCTCTTTCTCTCTCTCGTTTCGGCTTTTGTTACAATTCTTCCTTCAAACATTCGTGTTTGGAACTGCGAAATCTTGGCGAAAGCAGAAGCAGCGAAGTACTTTGACGTACTATAATTGTTTTCATTTGAAGTAAAATGTTTGCAGCACTGTAAATTCTCACGTAACAGAGTAGAACTTCATTTATATGAGCGAGGCGGGAGATGATCAGGTTCACATAGTAGGAGCCCGCTGATTATTCTCACTAATCGTAACTTTTCGTTCATACAACTGGAATTCGCGTCCAGGTAAATAAATGTAATCAAACATTGAATTCGTTTCTCAGATGATAACAATAGTTTCATCTCTTTACGAGCATGAGGACAATAATTCGATAACTCGTGATAAATAACGTGTTCTTGAAACAACGTATATACCAACTGTATTTATTTTTTATTGCTTAATAAACATGAAATACTGTGTACAGGTGTCACAGTTAAAGATAGTCACATAAGTATCTTTGTTATGTTTGCAGATTTTGAAAAATTTTGTTAACAAACGTTGTTCAATTCTGGGAGATCTATAATGTGGCGGTCATATTTTTTACAACTAAAGAGTTTTCGGAGATTTCAAGTTCACCTTCACTTCTCTAATCAAGTGAATTAAAATTAAAACATTTTTTTTATACATTAGTTAATGCAGCTCGACAATTTCCATGGAAAAGTATTTACCTATGTATGTGGAAAAATTATTAGATTAGTAGACATTTTAAATACAATTTTGTGAATTTTAATATGGATTTTGCTGTGTCCGAAAGTGCATAGTATGCATATTAATGTCTTCACTATTCGTAAATGTACTTCCCTCGGATAATAACACTAAATGCCTGCTAAACTAATCATTTTTCAATGTGGATACTGTTTACATCTTTTGTACATCTTTTAAAATGGAATAACATAAAAAAATGTAATTGGTTGATATGATTAAAGAATTATATGATGATGCTTTTTCAACTTTTTTTATGTGAGCCTATATCGAAGATTTAGAAAATGCATTTTGCAGATCTCGGTAACTTACATAATTTTAGAAAACAATGTGTTATATATATATATATAGCTATTGTCCAGTATAATATTCCCGCTAATATTCCGTAAAAATTTAGATCGCTTATTGTATACAAAATGTCGCGCTGCATCATCTAATGTATAATGTATAAGAAGATTAATTAATCTAAGGTATAAGAAAACATATGATCACACTTAAGAAAGTGGAGGTAACCCTGAAATCTCCGAAAATTCTCCAATTGTAAAACAATTGTTGCCACTATATCATAGATCTTCCTGATCAGAACAACTTCTGTTAATAAAGTTTTTCAATATCTTCAAAAATAACAGAGATATTTGAGTGCCCTCCTTTAAATGAAACACCCTGTATATATAATGAAACAGAAGTGTTAATATTAATAAATAGATCCATTTATTGTGTTTATTAAATGTAAACAGAATTACAAAATTAATTACTTCCATTTGACTTTGTTAAAGCCAAATCCTTCACATTTTTCGAACATTGTAAAGTTGTATTCTTTTTTCTCTAGCTGTGACTTTAAACGTATAACTAAAAAATGTATAAAGAATGCAGGATGTCAGTTAGGAACTAATTAATTTTCACAATCCTCATTAGATACTGATCTAATTCAATTATTGCTGAGTTTACAGTTGTTCACGTTCGCAATATCTAGGCGTTCACATAATTCCCGTAACGCTCGACAGTAGTTCAGATAATAGGCGTTCTGCAGAAGTTCATTACATTGCTCAAAATTTCGTTCCAATAAATGGACTTCAGATAAATGGAGTTCTACTGTAATAATTATGTAATTCGAACGATTACTTTCAGCAGTGGAAAAAGTATCTATTTGCCTAATGATCTGCAGTCTAACTCTTTAATTGAATTTCTTCTTCGCCTCAACGTAAATTCGAAAAACTTACTAACCGAGAAATATTGCTTAAACCCTAACTTGACGATAAATAAATTATATCCGAAGGTACGTACCGCAATTTACTTCCTAATAATCGAAAAATTTGCCTACATTACGTTCTTCGTTATTACATATTCTCTTTATGTTTCCGATCAAATGTTTCTTCGACGGTCGCAGACAACGAATGGGAACCGATGCATCTGCGTAGGTGACAAGCCGCGCGGTGTTTCTCCGCATGTAAATCCGCAAACGCAGATACGAGCACACAGGAGAAGAAAGCATCGGGAAACGCGAGGAGATCGGACAAAGTAAATTAAATGGTTACCGTTCGAGGTTCAAAGAGAAGGCGAGAGGCGTGGAAGTTGGATACATTAGTGAATTAGTTACGTTAGCGGTTTGGGATTTAGTTCTCTAATCAAGAGAACGAAGAGTGAAGGCTGCGGCAATTGATGTAAAAGTAGAACTTCCCGGGGACCAATTACGTGGCCGTGACGGAGCTAGAAGTTCTCTGTCGTAATCAACGAGGGGATTATGGCCGCGCGTTAAGTATATTACGCCTGGAATAATTTTCTGTTTGAACGAAAGAACCCGACAGCTGGCAATTAATCACAGAAACGCGTAGAAAGCGTTTGTGAACCTGCCACGAATAAATCCCGAGGGCTTTTCATGAGACCGGAGATCTAACGGATGGTTTCCCTGCTTAAAGCATTAACAAAATAAGACGTAAATTCCCGGAAATGCCATAAATGAGGCATTGTTTGTTTTCTAAGAATAGCTCTATTGTGATAGACCGTTGCTAAATTTCATTCCAATACCTTGAAAAACGTGCTTGTTATTTCTCGTATTATTGGAAATGATTTACGATTCATTAATAAATGTAGACGTACTAACCAATTTTTCTGTTATGCAACGGTACGACATTCATTGAAAGCAGTTCTTAAACCGTAGTAGAATAGTAAATAAAATTGGTATCGGATATTTCTATTGAGCGATATACATCAATTATTCTAGAACTATAACTAAATGTTCAAATTGTTTCACTTTGACTGTCAAAAGAAACTATATGTCATTCGATTTTTTTGTATTAAAAATTCTTGTGTACGCACAGAAAATAAATTATAATGTCGAGTTAAATAAAGATTTTATGGTTTAAAATTATTCCTTGTTAATTTGGAAATTTAATTTAATTGTTATTGTTACTTTGAATAATTTTATATCAAACATCTGATATGTGTGTGTGTGTGTGTGTGTGCATACAATGGGTAAAGGAAGGTGTTCGGTTACCTTTTAAAACGGTATTACTTTTTTCAAACTGGACTAAACAACTTGAATCCTTGGAGATGTTAGAGAAACTAGTTTACTGTACAATGACTAAAATACTTGTCTTCAATTTCGCTATTATTTGGCATGACAAGAACGAAGTACTCATGTTTTTTCGACTTTTTTATTTGAGCTTCTAACAAAGATTTAAATAATGCATTTTATAGATCTGTATATTGAAAATTTCATCGAAATGTATTGACGTTGTTACAAAAAATTAAAAATCGCGAAAATCGCAGCTTCTTCACGATTTTTATCATTTTTTATCCATCACTATAAGAAAGCTTGAGATTTTCATGTCTCTTAATGCCTGTAGCTTAAGCGTGTGTCATCTGATTTTTATGAATTTTTTAGGTTACTAATGAGTTAAGGTTATGTCAAGGTGCCTGTTATGCTATGCTTTTCAGGGCGCACAAGATTATCAGAATATTTATATTATTGTTCGCTAGACTGATGTTCCCAGATAACGTAATGAACTTTTAAATATTTATTCAACATGAATAGAAAATAATACGAGTAGATTAGTAAAGTACGAGCATATACCTATTATGAAATACCGTTTTCGTACAATGTTCCCGTGTACCATATTCAGTGACCCTATTCGTTTATTGAATGTAAGATATGTCTCTTATCATTATATCTTTTAATTTTCCCAGAATGGGTTTAAATGAATAATTTATTTCCTCTTTCATTCTTTTATATTTGTTAATAAGAAACATATATACTTTAAACTCTACAACATTAGCATTATGAACTGTACAATCGCATTCTTTCAGTTTTAATGTTTTTTGTTCTTCTGCATGCATTTTTTGCTACAACCTTTTTTTCTTCTCGATTAGGGTAAATGTAGGTATTACTGTGATTTCTCATTCACATGCTGAGCTACACTTACTATTCTTTAATCTGAATATTTACTTTTCTCAAAAATATTAGCTCTTTGAAAGCATTAATTTCATTAAAAAGCGCAATGTAAAGAAACCATACTCGTGCATATATTACTGCGGTTATGTATCTATTACTGCGAGCTAAATACTGCGGACGTTCCGATTACTGCGTGTCAAGGTTGACATAACCCATTATCATTTAAATGTACACACATAGCTACAATTTATGGGATCAAGATATTCTCACTGTAGCACTTTATAAATTAGGTATAGGTACTCTACGATCGAACGTGTTCTCACCGGCTTATCAAGAACTGCACTGTATAGGTTAAAGTACGCAGTTCAGTAAAGCACTGCAGTAGTGTATGAGCTGTTTATTTTGAAAGTAGCATAAGTCACTTTACCGTAATGAAAAGCGGTGATTTTTTAATGTTTATACGAAATTATTTATACTGAGAAAAATATCAGTATTCTGAGATAATAAATGCAAGTAAATCTTCTCGAAAGTTAGCATCCATATTTTTAAACTTGTTAAAACGCAAACCCTTAAATATATCGACTTAAAAACAAAGTGACTTATGCCACTTTCAAAATAAACGGCTCATATACACATAGTTAAGTAGTATGCGCCAAATACTGTGTTANTTAAACCGTAGTAGAATAGTAAATAAAATTGGTATCGGATATTTCTATTGAGCGATATACATCAATTATTCTAGAACTATAACTAAATGTTCAAATTGTTTCACTTTGACTGTCAAAAGAAACTATATGTCATTCGATTTTTTTGTATTAAAAATTCTTGTGTACGCACAGAAAATAAATTATAATGTCGAGTTAAATAAAGATTTTATGGTTTAAAATTATTCCTTGTTAATTTGGAAATTTAATTTAATTGTTATTGTTACTTTGAATAATTTTATATCAAACATCTGATATGTGTGTGTGTGTGTGTGTGTGCATACAATGGGTAAAGGAAGGTGTTCGGTTACCTTTTAAAACGGTATTACTTTTTTCAAACTGGACTAAACAACTTGAATCCTTGGAGATGTTAGAGAAACTAGTTTACTGTACAATGACTAAAATACTTGTCTTCAATTTCGCTATTATTTGGCATGACAAGAACGAAGTACTCATGTTTTTTCGACTTTTTTATTTGAGCTTCTAACAAAGATTTAAATAATGCATTTTATAGATCTGTATATTGAAAATTTCATCGAAATGTATTGACGTTGTTACAAAAAATTAAAAATCGCGAAAATCGCAGCTTCTTCACGATTTTTATCATTTTTTATCCATCACTATAAGAAAGCTTGAGATTTTCATGTCTCTTAATGCCTGTAGCTTAAGCGTGTGTCATCTGATTTTTATGAATTTTTTAGGTTACTAATGAGTTAAGGTTATGTCAAGGTGCCTGTTATGCTATGCTTTTCAGGGCGCACAAGATTATCAGAATATTTATATTATTGTTCGCTAGACTGATGTTCCCAGATAACGTAATGAACTTTTAAATATTTATTCAACATGAATAGAAAATAATACGAGTAGATTAGTAAAGTACGAGCATATACCTATTATGAAATACCGTTTTCGTACAATGTTCCCGTGTACCATATTCAGTGACCCTATTCGTTTATTGAATGTAAGATATGTCTCTTATCATTATATCTTTTAATTTTCCCAGAATGGGTTTAAATGAATAATTTATTTCCTCTTTCATTCTTTTATATTTGTTAATAAGAAACATATATACTTTAAACTCTACAACATTAGCATTATGAACTGTACAATCGCATTCTTTCAGTTTTAATGTTTTTTGTTCTTCTGCATGCATTTTTTGCTACAACCTTTTTTTCTTCTCGATTAGGGTAAATGTAGGTATTACTGTGATTTCTCATTCACATGCTGAGCTACACTTACTATTCTTTAATCTGAATATTTACTTTTCTCAAAAATATTAGCTCTTTGAAAGCATTAATTTCATTAAAAAGCGCAATGTAAAGAAACCATACTCGTGCATATATTACTGCGGTTATGTATCTATTACTGCGAGCTAAATACTGCGGACGTTCCGATTACTGCGTGTCAAGGTTGACATAACCCATTATCATTTAAATGTACACACATAGCTACAATTTATGGGATCAAGATATTCTCACTGTAGCACTTTATAAATTAGGTATAGGTACTCTACGATCGAACGTGTTCTCACCGGCTTATCAAGAACTGCACTGTATAGGTTAAAGTACGCAGTTCAGTAAAGCACTGCAGTAGTGTATGAGCTGTTTATTTTGAAAGTAGCATAAGTCACTTTACCGTAATGAAAAGCGGTGATTTTTTAATGTTTATACGAAATTATTTATACTGAGAAAAATATCAGTATTCTGAGATAATAAATGCAAGTAAATCTTCTCGAAAGTTAGCATCCATATTTTTAAACTTGTTAAAACGCAAACCCTTAAATATATCGACTTAAAAACAAAGTGACTTATGCCACTTTCAAAATAAACGGCTCATATACACATAGTTAAGTAGTATGCGCCAAATACTGTGTTAATAAATAATGTTTGAGGATAGATGATAGCGACATTGTACGTCACTTCTTTATCAAAGTAATGATTACTTTATCTAGAAATAACACTAAAATGAATAGTTTATTATTAATTATCAAAATATAAATGCCATTCGCAACTACCATTACGAGTATTCCATAAGACTTAACATTTTCAAAATCAAATCAAGAGTCAATAAATGAATTAAAACTGCGATTGCTGCATTAATTATCGATATTAAACACGTAAAAAATTATAAGATACATTTTTAGAAGATTATGCACTATAAAATGTTCGATTTTATTACTTTATAAAATACCGCAGTAATACCCACACTTACCGTAACTTTGTTTTTTCTTCATGCAACTGTTTCTTCCTTAACCCTTAACTACTATTGCTGGTCTGCGAGACAGCTATTAATTACATATTCACCTATAGTAACAATATAATTGTGAAAGAAATTGTAAAAGAAAGGAACGTTTCTAACACACTTGCTTGTATTCAATCAAACCGTCCAAGTTGGCCCCTTTCATTATTGATGTGCAAAGTAAGAACAACAGATTGTGTTTCTCTATTTACCACTTTTACGGCTTAAAACCAATTTTACCACTTTTCTATTATTCGTCGCACTTCTTTTACTTACCCATATGTAAGATGAAGACTTGAGTTTTACCTACTATCTACACTCTTATAGTATGTACAAAAAGAATTCAATTTGGTTTACTTTCGCTGTAAAAAGTTCGATTGAGAAAACCGCACACGCGTCTCATCGACTGCTACAATCAGTAACAATACTGTTCCTGCATGTGAAACATGGATGCCAACTGTTAAAACACGCGCATTCGAATAAACTTTCCTTTTTCACAGCTGATTGTTACGTAACAGTGAATTTCTAACGAACAATCTCCAACAATATGGGTAGAACTTTTACATCCACTTTCATATGCTCTATCGATTTTTTATTCCATTATTTCAAGGGGTCAGATTCGTCATGGGGTCAGATAAAAAAAAGTTGCAAAAACGTGAAGTATTTTTATTTGTTTATCGTTCCAAGTAGTAGAAAAATGTAAAAAGAAAGAAATATTTTAGTCAGTGTGCAGTAAACTAGTCCGATTAACATCTCCAAAAAATTCAAGTCATTTGCTCCAGTTTGAAAAAACTTATACCATTTTAAAAGTGTCGGAATACTTTTTGGAGCCACTGTATATATGTACATATTCAAATCGATTTTCATGTTAGTACAACAAATTTTGACACATTGCACTTTTCGTTGTTAACCCTCCGCTGTTACACTTCCTATGAGAAACGCGTATGTATGTCAAATTGGATCGCGCAGACCCAATTCAATTTTCAAACAACTTTCACTCATAAATTAGCAATAGTATCGAGAACGAAATTTTTGAAAATATAATTCGAACATTTTGGAACATCGTTTCCTTTGCTAGAACCCGACATCTCTGTCTCTCTTCTTCTTTTTCTCTCTCTTTCTCTCTCTCTTTTTCTCTCTCTTTCTCTCCCTCTTTCTTTTTCTCTCTCTTTCTCTCCCTCTTTCTTTCTCTCTCTCTCTATTTCTTTCTCTTTCCCTTTCTCTCTTTCTCCTTCTTTCTCTCTCTCTTTCTCTCCTTCTTTCTGTTTCTCTCTTTCGCTCCCTCTTTCTTTTTCTCTCTCTTTCTCTCCCTCTTTCTTTTTCTCTCTCTTTCTCTCCCTCTTTCTTTCTCTCTCTCTATTTCTTTCTCTTTCCCTTTCTCTCTTTCTCCTTCTTTCTCTCTCTCTTTCTCTCCTTTCTTTTTCTCTCTCTTTCTCACCCTCTTTCTTTTTCTCTCTCTTTCTCTCCCTCTTTCTTTTTCTCTCTCTTTCTCTCTCTCTTTCTTTCTCTCTCTCTCTCTCTCTCTATTTCTTTCTCTTTCCCTTTCTCTCTTTCTCCTTCTTTCTCTCTCTCTTTCTCTCCTTTCTTTTTCTCTCTCTTTCTCACCCTCTTTCTTTTTCTCTCTCTTTCTCTCCCTCTTTCTTTCTCTCTCTCTCTATTTCTTTCTCTTTCCCTTTCTCTCTTTCTCCTTCTTTCTCTCTCTCTTTCTCTCCTTTCTTTTTCTCTCTCTTTCTCACCCTCTTTCTTTTTCTCTCTCTTTCTCTCCCTCTTTCTTTCTCTCTCTCTCTATTTCTTTCTCTTTCCCTTTCTCTCTTTCTCCTTCTTTCTCTCTCTCTTTCTCTCCTTCTTTCTTTTTCTCTCTCTTTCTCTCCTTCTTTCTTTTTCTCTCTCTTCCTCTCCCTCTTTCTTTTTCTCTCTATTTATTTCTCTCTTTCTCTTCCTTTCTCTCTCTCTCTCGCTCGCTTTCAAGTACATTGAATTAATTTTCAATTTCACTCTACTCAAGACAATACTTGAAATTTTCGAAGGAAGAATGTGTGACATTTCAACCTAGCGTGACAGCGAAGGATTAACAAGTAGACTGTGGATTTTACGTATTTACTAAACGGATGAGGAAAAGGTGAGAAGGCGAAGAAAAATCACCAATAAAACAGACGAACAATTAGAATTTACAGACGATGAGTTTATTCACGTTTAATATGATGCTCGTAGTACATTTTTACGTAAGAAGTATAATCAATAGGCTCTTAACAAACTCGTTACGACGTGAACGTAGTGTCGTGATACAGACAATATTTACAATAACGTGTTTGAATACGCTCGGTGCGTCGTTAATGTGTATATATATTCAGCGTTTGTACGTTTACGGTTCGATTTCGTCGGTGTACGTCGACAGGGTAAATACTTGAGTCAAGAGTAAAAAATGACGGAAAGTTCGCAAAACGGTGACAGAGGTCAGACCGGGGGCCCGAAATTACCGGGCACGACAGCCAGGTCCGAGCATAGAACGTTCCAAATATCGAGGCTAATTGCATCCCACTGATCTATCTGCGCCCGGAAATCGATCATTCTGCCGGGGCACCTGTGCACGTACGACATTCAAGCCTGTTTACGCCGTAAGAGAGGGAAGACGGAAATTAATACTGTTCAGTTCGTGGCGTTCGCGAATAGCAACGTGCTGGCTGCAAAATCGACTTTCTGTTTATTCTGTTAACTCGAAATCTGACTTAATCCTTCGAACACGGAGCGATTCAACGAGGACGATCGAAAGACTGCAATCGGCCGTATTGGGTCGACACAAGATATTATTACGGTATTTTTCGATCAGCCTTCCTCTAAATATCCCGAATCGAAATAATTTTTATTTTCAATATTTCATCTGTTCACAATCAGAATTTTCGACGGATCAAAATTATATTTATTATTTCGATATATTCGGGGAGTTTCAGAACATGTTACACAACTTTTCCATAAATTTTTATAAGGAGAAAGAAACTGTAAATAAAATATTGCTGCATTGCAACAATGCTTAAATAAAAAGTAAAACTGTTCATTTAATAATGCCACTCTGCGTAAAGGTCGTCGTGCGTTCTAAATAAATACACAGCAGCATTGAATAACCCATTCGAATATTTTCCACAGTTATTCGTAGACACACCGGCGAGTAATTAAGAATGATAATCGTGAAAATATTGAAAATTCTTAAAGTTACCGCACGATAAACGTAGCGTTGGATAGCGTACAGTAAATCGTGCGAACAATTTTTTGGGAAACCAATCGTCTGCAAGAAGTGCAAAATCAACGGTGAAAAGCAAATCGATTTTTCAAAGTTCGAATAACCACAGAGTACCCCACCGAAATTAATACCAAGTGTTACGCTACGTGCCCCGTTGAAGTTACTATCGAGACAAGCAGAGGCGTTCGTATTCGCTTGAGACCAGAGTTTTGCGAATTTTCGTCTCGGGAGTAGAAACTTTTCCTGCATTGTTGTCGGGCTTGTACTCTCTGAAGCAGCTACCGAAAGTCGAACTTTCAAGTTCCCATCGTTACCTTATTTCCCTACATTCATGCGTTCGTTTTTGGTAAACGAAACATTAGGTCAGGTTGTCCCTTCGTTAGTACATTAGCGAGTACGATTACGGGACGTAGTACATAAAACGTAGTTCAAAGAATTAATTCAGTCACGCTCGATGCACCGATAAGTATAGCGCGGATAGATCGGTGGGATTCGGTGAAATTCGAACACTGACGGAAGAATGGATTCCTTGATGCACGAAAAAAAAGACAACAACAAAATATTTATATATGAAGTCACTTGTCCTATCTACACCCGATGAAGCGTCGATATAATCGTCGAAACGGAAACACTTCACAGACATTTTATTTTACAGTATGGAAATCATGAAACACGTTGTGGCTAGACGTACGAATATGTTCGATTAGATGCGTTCCCCGTGAACGTCCTATAATACAACGCCGTGGCAGAGACGCGATCGTGTAATTTCGTAATCTTAACGGTTAATACGATTATTTACACTAAATCGGAGTATCTGAACGATCGCCGAGCAGATAGCGACATTTGTACAGCCTTCTTTCCTCGATTTCGTGTAATAAACGGATACTTTCTTGAGAAATTAAGAACGTGGTCGATGATATCGATTCACCTCGAGTTCGCTCGGTGACACTTTCGTTCGCATGACGCCCACGCATACATTTAATGGAAGGTTTGACCCGAGCCCGTGACATGTCGCGCGGGAGACAACGACGCGTCATTCAACTCGTTAATGAATGAAACGCGTTCGCCGTAGAAACACTTCGTAGAAACCCGTGAAACGGATCGCGCGGATTTTATGAAAATTAAAGAAACGTTATCTCTTAATAACGTACTTGATCAACGAATACTCGAACGAACGCGATGTTGAATATTCTACGATTTTATTCGGCCGATTGTAACGGGATCGATGAAATTGAATCGATTAAAATCTGTGATATTTCGCACCAATAATTTCCAAAACAGAAATCACAAGAATCGATACCACAGATATCGTAAACCATCGATCCTATCCGTGCTAAGAACATCCGTATCCGTCGCAAGCATCGGTAGCCAGGATATTAGGCCAGATTTCGCATCGAAGGAGTGGGTGGCTAAGTCATTTGACGCGCCGGGCCTCCCGTACAGAGGAGCGGCGAGCATAACTGGTGTACATTGTAATTCTGAATTACGAACGCGACGCAGAGCCTTATCCTATCAGGATAGAAACGCTCGTTCTGTTCCCCAGTGGTCTCTCTCCTGGTTAATCTTCTGGCTACCATGACCGCGGGCGACTCGACGAGAGACAAAGAAGGCCAGGTCGTGTTACCTTCTTCTCGTTAACCCTTCCGCACGAGCTGCGCGCCAATGTCTCCCGCGCGGTACAATAAATTCTCAACGAGCTTCGATTAACGATTGACCGGTGTAGATCCTGCGGACTGCATAGCCGTGGGACCTACTGCGTACAGCCTCGGTTCGCCGGCTGCGAAAAAGTGACGGCAGAAACTGTTGCGATAAAAAGGAAAAAGGAAAGTCGAGAGGCGAGTCGCCTCGGCTCGTCTAGGGTCTAGGGTGTCTAGACCGGTAGTCGGCTGGATTCGCGCCTCGTTGCTTTCATCGCTGATCGATCGCGTCTTTTAGTCCGTTGGAACGGGGATCGGATTATCCGTCGCGTCGCTCTCCCGTCCGTCTTGATCGTTTTGGGCTCAGGTTAGCGGCGCTTTCCCGACGAAGTGCCTGTACTTGTTGCACGCCGGGTACTTGCCCTCCTCGGAGACGATCGACAGATTGGACTGCTCCCTCTCGCGACGGCACAGCGGCTTTTTCACCGGCTTTTTCGTGCCGTTGCCGCAGTCCAGGGCGTAGCGGAGCTCGCTCGCCATCTCCGAGCACACGGACTTCTGGAAAGTGCGACGAATACCAACGCTCCAGACGTCTCTCAATGCTGACCAGCCCATCAACGGTCTACTACAGTGGGTCAAGAAAGTATGGCAGTGTCGTCTCCTTCGCGATCGCTTCGGGCCATCACTCGCTCGCAACCGTTTCATCGCCAACCGCTTCACCAATACAATATCGTCGACACCGACGATATTTACGTACCAACGCGTTCAGATTATTGGCCAGCGTTCCTTCGATAACACTGTCCGACAAAATCAAACTTTTTTTCTGGGTTTCTATAGCCACTATGAAATTCTTGTAGAGCTTCACTTCCTGAACAAGAATCCGGAAACCGAATTGCTCCATCACCCTCAGTTTTTTAAATAAACGAACTTTTGTACAAACCCAAAGTTTTCGACAAAAATGAGGTATTGCATGAAAAGTATAAACGTTAGAAGGTTCTAATTAAAAGATAGAGGAGAGTTTCCCGAATATAGTGGCATGCAATTTATTAATTGTTTTTGATCCTAAATAGCAATAAATTAATGTGAAAGTTTAAAAAAGTGTTGACGTGAGCAGTTTCTGCGCAATATTTTTGTATTTTTACGAAAAGTTTTTTGTTCGGCACGAAAACTCTACCCAGGATCG